TTCAATTGACTGAGAAGAATTTCAAAGACTTTGGAAAATTTCATAAGATTTCATAGGCTTTTGAAAAATCTTCGAAGTTGCATGAAAATTCTATGATATAGAAACCACACTACAGTCAATGCAAAGATAGCAAAAAAAAATTTCTGTTGTTTCTATTTTAATATTCTTTGGCGAAATGGAAAAAATATTCAAGCAATTTCATGAAAAGAAATTTATTTATTAGGTATTGACATATACTTTGCATGTCTCATTTAAATAGTAAAGTTTTGCGCAAATGTTTGGCTTCAGACCTACAAAATAAATATATCTCTTTCCTTTTTTTAGTGTGTTTGAATAGCGTATAGGAAGCTATTTAACAAATAAAAGCTGCATCGGATTCTAGTGAAATGTTGAAGAGTAGTTGATGTGTTTGTGACATGCAGTAATTTTGATGTTACAAAGAAATGAGAAAGTGTTTATTGAAAAAATCAATGTATAAATAAATTCTACATAAAATTCTCTAGTTTAGCATCTGACGCAAACTTTTAGATAGTCTAATTTGAGAAAATAGTCTATTAATAGACGCCGATTTTCTCTCTTGCACTCTTTATCTATTTTGTCTTCCACGATAAAGATAGAATTCTATAGAGACTATTCACATTTAATGAAAAACTTTTATACTTGTACGAAGTATTGAGTCTATAATCTATTGCGCAGAGACTTTTATCCTGAGTCTTTATATATACATTATTCAAATACATAGTTTATATATTAATATTAACATTGTGAAACTATGACGAGGAAAATTCGAGAATTTTAACTTAACCCCGTCTCGTTTCGGTGTCTGTCGTGTACAGATGCATTCAAAGAGTTTGCTTGGGAAATAGTCACTTTGTTTTTTGAAAATATTTTAAAAAATCCCAATGTTTTATCTAACATTAAAGGCAAAAGGGCTTATTCTGAACAACTTTCGTTTCAACTCTTCTTATGCATTAGAATGGCTTATAATAATATTTTTCGTAAAATTTTTCTCTAATATTTTAATAAACTGTTCAAAATATTGATATGCAGCTTTTTATAGTCGAATCGTATAAAATAAATCATAATTTTAACATGAAACAATCTTACATCAAAATAACAATATAATCGATGAAGAATATTAATAATGATCTTCAGATTACTTAATTCAATATAAAATAGATCAATGATTTTCGAAATCATACTTTGAAGTTTATGCAAAGGAATTTGAAATTTGAAAAATGAAAAGTGAAGAAACTCTTAATTCTTTGCGAGAGACTCAGACCAAAAAAAACGAGCCATTTTCAACTGGAAAATTCGAGAAAATGGTAGGAACTTGAAAGCAAGAATTCAATGGTTGGCTCTGCTCGATTACAACCGAAGCTAAAAAAATTCGGCCATTGGATCTGATCACCGAATTCATGCTTCGAAGTTCCTACCATTTTCTCGAGTTTTTCGACTAGAAATAGCGGCAACCTGACAGAATATCATTGACATAGGACACAATGATTTAAAAATAGGTGAAAGAAAAAGGCTCATTTATTCATAAACAGAACCATTTGGTATAACACCAATGAAAGTTTTTTCTCGTAGTTCATCAAGATAATCTTTATATAATCGTACATCTTCATGATTAGATCCAAATGAATGACGTGCAATATTAACAGCTTGTGATGCATATTCAATAGCTTTTTTATATTGTTGTAAATCATTAAATATTATAGCAATATTATAATTAGTTATTGCTAATATTGAATTATTTGGTGAAAGAAATTTCTTTTGAATTTTAATTGATTTTTCATAATAAGAAAATGCTTTTGTATAATCTTCTATTTGATAAAAAATTTCACCAATTTTATTATAAATTTTGGCTATGGATAAATATTGACGTGGAAAATGTTTAAGTTCATTTTCTAAAGCTGATTGATAATTTTCAACAGCTTGAATAAATATTTCTTTTTCATTATAAATTTCAGCAATACGATAATAAAGAGAAGCTATCTGTAAATAATCAATTTCTGATGCATGTAATGCAATATTTAATGCACATTTAAAATTTTGTACTGCTTCAAATAAATTATTTTCTTTATGAAAACGAATACCATTATTAAAATATTTTGAATAAAGACTAGAATTATTTTGTAATAAATCATTTGAAGAATTTTTTAATGATGTTTTAAAATATAATGTTGAATCTATTAAATTATTTTTTTTATTATAAATAAATTTAAGTTGTTCATTTAATATAGTTAATTGTTTTGAATTATTAATTGAATTTGATTCAAGTAATGTTTTATATAATTCTTCAGCTTTATCTAATTGATTTATTTGAATAAAATAAAAACCTAATTGTTGCCATGAAGTTTGTTCTTCATTATATTTTATTGATTGAAGATAATCTTTTAATTGTTGATTATCATCATTAACTAAAATTAAATTGATTTGCCAAATTTTATCTTCAATTTGTTTTATTTTACCAATACGAAATATAGTATAAATAGAAAATAAAATTTCATTTTCAGAATTTAAATAATAACTTAAATTTTCTAATGAAATATATTTTATTGATGAATTTATTTTCATACGAAATAAAATACCGAATAAATTAGGATTATTTGTTGCTGAACGTGCAATACTTAATGATATTTGTCGATCAATATTTGTCCAAAGAAAATTATTAAATGAAATAAAACCATTCTTATGATTTTTGAATATTTCTAATTCATATTCTAATATTCCTTGTCCTCGATAAACAATCATTTCATTTTCATTATCTATTTTATTATATGATTGATTAATTTGTTGATGAACATCACGAAGAAAGAAACCCATTTTAATCAGAAGTTCTATATTTTGTTTACGAAAAGCTTTATCAATTGCGAAATAAAGAAAACATTTTCTTGTGTACCACCAAATTGCTCTTGAAGAAATATAATCTTCTTCAAATTCATTAATTACATTCAATTTATTACGATATTGCTCACGAGTAAAATTAATAAAATCTCTTTTAGATTTCTCATTATAATCAATTTCATAAAGAAGAATTTTCTTCAATAAATATTGAATAATAATTGATGATGAATTAAGTATTTCAATTGGTATATTATCACTTTCTGATAGATGAAGATGATATTTAAGTTTCTTATATATTGATTCAATATTAGTAAATATACCTTTTATTTTTTCATATTGTTTTATCCATGATTGATCTTTTAATCTATCATTTGAAATAATATAAATTGCCATAAGTTGAGACATTTGATAAATACAAGAAATAACTTTTTTAGCATATATATCAGATAAAATTAAAAATAATTTTTCTTCTTTAATATGAATTATAAATGAAAAAAATTCATCGATATTAATAAATAATTGAAAAGAATTAAAATTATGACGAAATTGATCAATTGAATTTTGATTTTTATCAATATTTGTAGTTAACCAAATGACAATAGAATTTTCAATTATTGGAGGTTTACGATATTGTAATAATCTATCCGATGATTCTTGTTTAATAGATTTAATAGATGTTGATGTTAATTTATCTGTATTAATTTTATTTGGTACATCTCTTATAATTTGAGGATAATTTCTTTGTAATGAGTCAGTTTTTATATAGGATACTAAAGAAGGTAATACATCTGAACGATTCTGTGAAAATAAAGAGTAAGATTTACAACATGCACTACCCATAATGTAGATTTTAAAGGATGTCGTTTTAGAAAAATTTGATTAATTGTGATGGAAGTTTTTTTTTATTTTATCATTGTAAGAATTCAATAAGAAAATGATAAAAGAATTTAAGTTTAATGTTAAACATAGAACAATAATTATCTTTTGCACTCGAAACAATATCAAACATAATCTTACGTATACACTTAAGAACAGGTCATATTTTATTTTCTTTTGATAGTATGCTATTATGTAAATATAATCAAATTTAATCTTTTGATATAACATATTCGTATGAAGAAATACATATTAAAATATTAATAATAAAAGGAAAACTTTTTCTATTGATTTTTAACGAATTTGTATTTTTTGTTCTGGTGAATTTGACTATAAAAAGTAAGCTATTGATAGGGTAATAAATAGAACAAAAGAGTATTGATTTTTATTAAAAATAGTAAATTGATATACTTTGTAAATGCATTTTATCAAGATAGTTTTTATGTTAAGTTTTGATTTTTCAATTAGTTGGTAAAGTTTAAAATAGAAGTATAATATAAATTTTTCTTTAATACATTGTTAATTAAGTAGTTATATAAAGATGAATTGTTTCATTTTCAATTTTTCTATTAAATAAATATCAAATATTCTATCTTCTTGTTAGCAGTGTAAATTGATATACACATATATCTCAATGATAGAATCATTTATCCCATTAAAAATTTCATTTAATAATTCATTTTCTTTATATACGAAAGTAAGTTCATGAAAAGAAAAGATCAACATTTCATTTATCTGGTCATTCACAATACTATTGCATAGAATTGCATAAAAATTCGTTATTAATAAATATCTATGTTTGTTTAATTTATCTATAACCGAAGCAAACATCTCAAATTTGTTTTTTTCTTGCGGTTTTTATCAGTTCATATATCAGTACATGTGATATTTTAGAAAAAAAAGGTCATAACAACAAAAGAAGTGCTCTTGATGAAGAAAATAAATTGATGGTTAGTATGCATTTTGCTGAAAGTCATATGATCGAAATGAAGATGTCTGTTTTGATGACCGAAACTATCAGCGAGATTCTGAAATCAGACCTACAGTATTGAGAACGTTTTAATATTTATTTGTATTGATACAAAATGTACTTAGTAATTATACAGTATATCCAAAAATTTATAATCACTTAATAAATACAGATAATTCGGTTATTGCTCCAGTTTAATCAATATCTTTTTTTATTTGTAATAGGAGACTAATAAGTTTTGATTCGTAAAGACCAAGTTCATCAATAATGTTTAAAACATAATATTCTCGATGCTACCAACAATATGTACCGGTTTGTTTTCGACATTCACTTGAATTTCTATGGTTATTATGGACTTCAGATCATTTAAATCTTGTATTGTAACTTTCTAAACACTTGCTTTAATATATTCTGACGAAAGATAGTCAATTGTAATGTTAAAATGAGTTATAAAACGGTCTAACACATTCATTTTCACTTTTCGAAGAATCATGAATGACTTGCTGTGAAGAAATATACCAATCATTTGATCGTTTTCAAATATGCCAAACAAATGGTTAAAAATCAATAATCAAAGAATTACATGATCTGTAGTCTATAATTAATGATAGCAAGTCAAGTAAGCATCGAAAAACAAAATCTAGTACATATTGTTAGTAGCATCGATACTGTTAACGAGCTTGGTCTTTACGAATCAAAACTGATTAGTTTTCTATTTCAAATAGGAAGAAAAAAAAGAATTTTGATCCAGTTTGATCAGTAGCGGAGTTATTTATAATTATTAGGTGGCCATGACTTTTGAAACGCCCTGTAGTGATATGCTAAGTTAATAACTAACTTAAGTTAGTAACTAAGAAAAGATCAGGTCACAATTCATGATACACACATCATAGTTGAATAGCTACTGTCTCTATACAGTATATATCCAAAAAAACCGAAACGCAGATCATTGGTATAGATCATCGAGAGAAACTCGGCGATCTTTATTTCAGTTATGAAGCACACAATGAAATTGATAGAATCTGTGATAAATAAATTTCATGCAAAAAAAATCGTTGAAAAAATCTTGTATCTCTTACAAGTTGTATAGTTTTAAAAAATATATAAAGTCGCATAGACGTGTTATACCTATATCGAAAAAATATATTCAAGAATTTTGTATTTTGATTGTTTGAAATCTTTAATTTTGATACAAAATAGGTCAAACAAGATGTTATTTAAAAACTAAAATATTTTTTAAAAACATATTATATCATGTTAATTATTTTAAAAACCAAAAATTTTTTTTTTTTTATGTTTATTATTTTCTTTTATCAATTATACAATGCAAAAATCTGAATAAACTAAATCATACTCTTCTTTTTTTTGTACATAAAGATTAATATAATTCAACAATTCGTTTTGCTTCACGTATACCAGTCATATAAGCTCCATGTGTTGTTCCATAAAATCTTTCATGTGTACCTTCACCAGCAAAAAGAATAAGTGGTTTAGCTGGTTTATTTGGCCATGGTACAGCTAATTGTTTAATATCATGTATACTTGAACCAATTTTAATAAATGTATGTGTACCATGTATAAATGGTTGATGAAACCATCGAGATCTAATTATTTGTTCAGGTAATGGACTTTGATTATCAGGATAAAAAAGACAAAGAAGTTCTTGAAATGCCATTGCAAGTAATTCATCTGATATTGTTTCAATATATTTTGCTGCTTCACCACTTATTTGTGTTACAAGAACATTTGATAATCGATGATGAACATAAAAACCATTTATATTTTTACACCATTGACTCTTTATAAAAAAAAAAAGAAATGAAAGAAAATGACAATTAAATATTTTATGTTAAATAAAAAAAAAAAAAAATTTTTAATCTTACATTAAAAGATGTATTAGTGAAACATTTTAATTTCCATTCTGTATCTAATTGATTTGTATCCCATAAAAAATTAAATGTTTCAAAATCAACATCCCAAAATGGTTGTGGAAAAACAAGATAAATCTATTACAAAAAAAAAATAGCAAAAACAAAGAGTTTCAAATACAATCAAATCATTTTTATTAAACAAACTTTATCAATTGTACCAAAACCTAATTTTTGTATACACATTCGTTTAGCATGTGGTAATGGTGGAATAAACATTTGATGCATTGAATGTTTAAGACAACCAACAGATTGTGTACAAACGACATGTTTAGCTTGATAAATTATTAATTGTTGATTATTTTTAATAATTTCAACATCAACATATTGTTCTTCTTCATGAATAGAAATACGTTTAACAATAGTATTTAATTCAATTTTATTTTCATTTATTTTATCAGTAAATATTCTTTGTAAAAAATTTAAAAAACCTCCATGAATATAAGCTGTTTCAGTATTATATTGATTATTTGAGGGTAAACGTTCAAGAGAATTCCATCCTAAGAGAATAAAAAATTGAACATCATTTGACCTTAAGCAATATATGTTCATCCAATTTGACTTTTATATAAGCAAAAAAAAACAAAGAAAAGAAAAATTATAATTATTTCTGTCAAAAAAGAATTTTATTTGACAATTTATATTCAAATTTTGACTTTATGATTTATATGTAGTCATCATTTTTTTTTATCAAATTACATGATGAAGTATTGTTTAATAATTGAATGTATTGACGAAAGCTTTTGTATGTATGTGTGTGTGTGTGTGTTCTATTTGTTTTATTTATTCATGTAGAAAAAGTCATAGCGAATTTCATTAGAATATTTTTCAAAAGCGAAGAAAAAAAAAAGAACGCAGTTCTAACAATAGAACATATTTATTATGAAATCCGTTTTTTATTTCTATTTGAAAGACTTACTTTATAATTCATTAAATTTTCTATGCTCGATATAGTTTATTATATTACCTTGTACAGATACATCTGTTAGTTTATTACAACCAATTGCATTTAAATATGGATGTTGTTTACTAAGCCAATTAATAACTTTTTGTTGTTCATCTATTTCATCTTTATCTAATGTTAATTTTTTCATTTTAATATATTGTTCTAATTCGGCTGAAATAAATTCACCTAATGATAAATCAGGATAATTTTCATATGGATATGTTGGAACTTTTTTTTCTAATATTTCATCATAAACTTTTCGTACTTCATCAATAACATCTTCATCAATGGATTCAGCATCTTCATCATGATAACAATCATCTCGATCAGATCCTTCTAGACAGAAAAAAATATTTTTGCGAGAACTATTCTAATACAATAATTATGCTTTGTCAACCCTATGTAAAACTTTTATCTATCATGCTTGATTTTTTGACAGATTTCATTGTTGCGATGCCTTACAATTGCATATTATATTTATTAAAGCAATCTGTCTTTTGGGATTTTGTTTTCGATATAAATTATATTCAATACAAATGAATCTGTCATGATCCGAAGCACTGATGACTTTTCATGCGAAGCAAGACAATAAATATAATAAGAAAGAAGAAGAACTGTTTGACTTCAAATAATAACCCTTTACTCCCCATTGGCAACTGAAATTGCCATTTTTAGAAACATTGCAGAAAATAAAGGAAGCGTCAGATTCAAAAACAATAAGAACCTTTTTTATAGTAAACATCATGGACTATCAATTGGTAAAAAGAGTATTTTTTTTCCATTGCTCCGTCTTTGAAATATTGGGCCTTCAAAATCGATAATTTTGAAAGAAAATGAAAAATATTGAAATTTTTCAAATAAAATATTCTATACCCATAGGCAATAGAGATCTTTTGGAATTTCTGTGCGATATTAATTGATGAGGAAGACCACTAATGCATAAAATATGTTTCAAAAGTTTCATGATAACTTAACGAATTACACATGCTCAGACAAACTATTGATCATGTAGCCACTATTGGGCAGATGACGAGCAATCAAGAACAAAGTTAATATATACATTATAAACCTCAACTCATGACACGTTGAAACAGTATTTATTATGAATTAAATTTCTTCTGACATCATAAAATGGCTCAGAGCAAAAAAGACTTTCATTTGCCAACACGTGTAAAAGACACATGCATTCTTTGGTATTAATTTCTATCGATTCACAACTGTTTCTTTTCCCATTATTTCTAAAGTACAGGATATATGTTGCTTCTGCCCACTCAATAGTGTGGTTAAAGAAAAAAACTCAAGTCTCATGATGTTGTTCAATTCCCTTTTTTGCACCACATGATCGCTGAATCTATCCAGTCGTCCTACTCTAGGAGCAGGATATTTGGTGGATCACACCACATCATTGGCATATTAGATAGACTAATACTTTATTAATAAAGTTATTTTATTAGTGGCTCTTGTAGAACCGCTATTGGGGAGGAAGTAAAGGGTTAAATCATTTGTTTTTGATTATTTTTTGATTTTTTTCTTTCTAATTAAAAAGTTCTAGAAATATGTAGTTTTGTTACGAAAAAATTAAAATAAAATAAAATAAAGAAGATTGTCTTCTTTCTTTATTTTTATCAAACAATCTTACTGTCATCAATGTCAATAAGATGATGTTCTTCAGCTAATTGATACAATGGATTATTTAATATATCACCATGTAATGATTCACTACCCAATTCAATTGGATGTTCAACTAAAATTTCGAATTTTTTTCTTTTATTTTCTATTATTTTCATTTATCAATACAATACTTACAAAGTTTAATAGTTCGACAACGACCACCAATTTGATCATGTGCTTCAATGATAACAAAATCATTAATACCATTTTCAATCAAATATTTCGCGCATGAAAGACCAGCAAGACCAGCTCCAACAATCACAACACGATAATGCTGCTCCATTGAAACCTTCAATTAAAATCTAAATGTCAAATAAATACGAGAAAAAAAAACTTGAATGTTCAATAATAGGCGAATGATTGACAGCTACCAACACGACCAACGTAAAGCAAAAAGAAACAGAATAAATTTATAAATTGCCATTGTCACAATAGTCGTCGTAATGGAAAGAACGGAGAGCGAAAAAAAAAAACATGAGTATGCCGTCGCTTTTACTTCATCACCATCACACCGTATAAGATTCCTTCGAGCAAATGAGTCTCAATACAGACATGCAAACATGCATCGGAAATGATGATCGTGTGTCGTTAGGTTCCGCCTTTAGCTCACATAAATTTTGTCTATAACATCTATTCTATGAGGAAAGTATGTTAGCTTCAAAGAATATAGTTCAGAATGATACACAAATGGAACACATTAGACTTTTTCTTCTCTCTTGTCTTCTATGTAATAATATAAAATTGTGTTCAATACATGCCTATATCTCGGCTTCTAACCCAATTAAACCATCCGATCTATCTGTCTATGCTGTCTGATCAAATTAGGAAATATTCATTTTATCGTTTCAAACCGAATGTATGCATTTATGGCTGCCGAGATTATATGAACAGAATAAAAATAGAACATTGCCAAACAAAAGTAAAAAAAAAAAAAGAACGAAAAATCTGTTTTTCTTTAATCATTCGAAAATAATTAGTGATGTTTAAAATATTTCTAAAATATCTGTACAATAATAGAAAGATTAATAGAGTTTAATTCTTCAAGCTGCTATAATCTTCAGACTAGATGCAATTTTTTTTTCAATACAACATATGCCTACTTTTTATTTTTGGGAATAATTTAAGAATACAATCAGCAAATAGTAATAACTATATGCATATGTATGGCGAACAAGTAAGATTTATTATAATATGATTCAAAAACAACAAAAAAAAAACAATAAGTAATTTAAATATTAATATGCATGATTTTCGCCTCATTAATAAATCATAATAGAATTCCATTCGTTTGATATTATACTCAAACAAAAAGAAACTGAATATTTAACGACACAATATTGGAAACATATTCATTTTAATCACAGTACCCTCATTTTCACATAGTGCTATGTATGTAAATCATACTAATCGGTGTGAAAATGTGATTAAAGTAAAGATACGTGCCATCAAAAAGTATCTACATAAAACATATCGATCGAACGTAATCCAGTGAACTTTTAAAATAAGTTTACTTTAGATTTTTTTTATTAGATAATTTTTGAACTTGAGCATATTATAGAAGTTTTCCGAAATCAAAATATGTGTTTCATTCATTATTCATTTCCTTATTATTTCACATCACATCACATAGAACGATGCATATGCTTTAAAAAGAATATTTGATTTGATCACTTATCAAGATATTGTATCTATATTTTCAATTTATTTTTCACGCATAATTTTTCTTTTATCACACTCATTATGTTGGCACACAATACTATTAACGTCAAAAGTCTCTCGAATCACTTTTAATTTTTATGTCGTCTAGTAAAACTACGCAAAATTAATTTAATATGGTTATATGCCTTTATAGCAGAGTTTAAATACTATGTATATGCATACCTATTCAATACAAGAGATACTTGAGTATAATATATAATGAACCGATAGAAACTTTAGCAGTAACAGAAAATTACATGAGGGAAAAAAAGCAGTTTGTTATGATTGTTACAAAGTTGAATAGGCTTATCAAACAGAGGCAGTGCAATGAGCTATCGAATCAATATCAAAAAATGTACTTTGGAAGATACTTCAAGCATGTCATTTTCTGATAGGTTCTTATTTGCATTGTTTGAATCAACAAAGAGAAACAGAGATTTTAATGAGTTACACATAATATATTTAATTGTTAGTCTATAAATTTAGTATTAGATAAAGCGAAAATTCATAAAACATCAAAGATTACTAAAGAAGCATTTCATAAATTAAGACATTAGGAGATTAGTAAAAATAATAGTTATGTTGACTCAAGCAGCAAAATGTATCGTTCGATTACACAATCTACTATTACATGAATGGAAAGTCATGACTAGACCGCATTCATTACTCACTAAAAATAAAAAAAACTTTAGTCATGATGATGAACAATGCATTTTATAAAAGTATTAGATATTTTTATGATCATTGTATTTTTATATGTTGACAAGATATATATAAGGATTGTCCATTTCCATTAAATCATCATCACTACTCATAGACTTATAAGAACAATATCATAATGATTAATACTAACATTTATATAGAGTACAAAGTACATAACCGTATTAAATAGTTTTACTAAACAACTTTAAAATGAAAAGTAGTACGAGACTTATTGAGGTCAGCTATCTTAAAATCAAAAGTAAGTATTGTCATTGTAGCATTTGATATTTCAAAAGAAATAATAACAGCACCACCAATAGATCGAGTTTTTAGTTATATTCACAAATAGACAGAAATTAAATAGGAACTACTTATGATGAACTTAATTGAACTATAATTAATTGGCAAAAATTTGTTGCAGATATTTATGATCAACACTATGCAGCGAGTTTACATAAAAATAATAAAAGCTCGATAGTGTATTCTTCTATTAGAATCAAAACTACAATAAAAAAATAAATCAATCTATGCATATTCACCCAAGAAATAAACTCATTCTCTTATTATTGTATTAATATATAATTTAATTTGTACTAATCTTAAAAAATTCTCGTTATAAAATATTGTGTATTATTCATAACAAAATTTCATTTTACTTCTACTTTTCTTTTAATGAATTCAATCTTTTATTTGCTTTTCAAATAGAATTGAAAAAAACAACTGATAGCACACAATCAAAATAATGAATTAAACAAATTTTTTATGAAACGATTCTACTTTCAATTCTCAATAAGTTAAATGAAGAAATTGGACGAAATCAGTCAGTTTTCCATTGTCTACATTAGATATCTAAAAATAAGCTTTAACTTTCATTATGAGATGATTTTCTTGCTATACCAGTTGATGATACATATGAAAGACTATCTAAATCTATCTCCTGATAGTATTTAACACGTATTAATAGTACACAAACAGAGCGATAGTCTCAAAAGATCTATATCATCCTCAAGTTAGCTGTTGTCTACATCCTAGTTCTTTTCATTCAATGGTAAAATGACTAACAAAATCTGTAAAATCCTGAAAAGCAAGTTTGTTTCTACTGATTTCATATTTTTTTATATTTTGTCATTAATCTCAGAAAATCTTAGTCAACAAAAAGTAAGTAGACGCTTTTCAATAAGAAAAAACCTTAGCATATTATTCATTCTTGACATTATCCCAGAACAATCGATTTTATCTACAAATCGTCTCGAGATATTCATCATAAATACAAATCGGCTACTTTTGAAGATGATTTTCTCTTTAAAAAAAAAACTAATGTTCATCATTCGATAAAACCCATCTAATCCAGTCTACAGGAACTTCAATTAGACAAAATTAATGTAGCGTGTTTTCTAACTGGGTTATTAAGGTAATCTATACGTGTCTTTTACGCACTATTTTTTTTTAATCATATATATATATACCCTATGACACCGTATACAATCTTTTACAACTGCAGTCCAGGATATCATTTACAATATTAGTAAATATTTCCTACATGGCTCAACTTTGGTAGCCCTATATAATCATATTTCAAGCGCAAAAGACCATAAATATTTCGTTTTTTTTACTCTAAATGAGCATTATCTGTATGCTCGCGACGTACTCTTGTAAATATAAAACTTTGTAGGAGGTCATCTGTGCATGGCAACTACAGCCAAATATTGGGCAACAAACTTGAAAAACATAAAAAATTTTGGTCTTGCTTGATTATTAAAGAATGGATTAGGAAAAATTTTAGAGTTTAATAGGCTGGTGAGATCGCAGCGCCAAGGCTTAGAAAGCACCTTCAGGATATCAAACATAAATTAAGAATCTTCACTTTATATATGTTGTGAAGAAATAGTGAATGTAAAATATAGAAAAAACTTCAGATCTCTATATATGTTTAATAACGATGCCGATGTTAACCACTATAAAAGATAGCCTAAATGTGTTTTAAAACAATGCAGCTGATTGCTTCATATAGAGCTCGACGAAACCTATCGATTAATATGTAAAACAGCTCAAAACCATTAATAATGACTTAACATTAATAGAGAAACAAAGTTATTAAAAGACAACCAAGAGCAACAGATGATATTATAACAAAACAATGCTTACGAACACCGAGATTTGAAAAGCTTGATAGCACCTGATAGGGATTCCATAAGAGTTCTCAATTGTCTAACATTACATGGTATCTAATTATGAGTTTAAGATGCTTCCATAACATGAAATAAATATGACTCGTAAACAGTGATCGAATACCACACGCTTATTTTTCACCATAAAAGACTATCGTAGACGCTACCACCCTATACCGTAATACCGCTCAGCGTATATGGTCGCCGTTTTCAGACTAAAGAATCATCATGATCTAGCTATATATAGCTATTTACACTCTATATTGTTTGATCAAGGCAACAATAAACAAAGAGTTATGTGTATATCACAGCGATTTATATAGAATTATGACAAAATATGTAACGTTTTGTTTGTAGATTCAGGTAAAAAAAAAATTATTTTTACCCAAAAAAATACATTGATGTGAAAGACTCTTGTCTAAATTTAAAGACGAACAAGAATCTAGGAAGAATAAACTGAAGACTATAGATGCGAAATGTATCATATATGTCGCGATTGTAAATGCTTCTAATAAAATGTTCTATCATAAATATCTTTACATATTGGTTCTTGAAAAATGTCACGAAAGAAATCTTCTCAGAGCAAATGTTCTCGGAAAATTCTTTTTCTTTTAAAATAAAATACCTTTGGAACAAGATCGTAGTGTATCACATATATAATTTGTTGTCTATATTCTTCGTTCGTTCATCGTAGAGTAATCCTATGAAAGGTCAAGAAGAAAGAATTTTTATCGAAATACAAATCACATACATTACCTATTAGGTAGCATAAGAATTAGAGCACTAATTCTCAAGTGCTTTCCACAGGATTTGAAGCAAATCAATAAGGTCTAAAATTGCTGTCAATTTTTTGCAAGCCGATCATTATTTAAAAACTAACATAAAAAAAAAGACTTGTTATTTTAACTAATGATCGTTCGAGCCTCTAGTTCAAATAAAGACTCTTAAGTTTCAACGATGTACTATTATAAGCTGCTCTCGTATTACTCACTCATATTTATAAGAATTTCACACGTTATTACGGGTAAAACAATAGAATTTGCAAATAAAAATTATGACTAAAGAAAAATCTTTTTTTTGTTTCGATATCATTAAATTTATTTATGTTTCTCCGGAAAGACTGTGTAAAAGGAAGGACATTGTAATCGAACACACTTTCATAGGTACATTGGATTTAAAGGATGAATATTGAAGGACATTTTTCCAAAGAACTAATTATTGGGAACATCTTTCGTAAGCACAATTATGACCTAATTTGTAAAATTATCCATCTCACTATTTTTCTTCTAGCTAGCAAAATCATACGAATGAATAATCGTGCATTCTTTTATATTACAAAAAAATCAATCGAAACAACCTAATTAACTATATAAAGAAACTATGTTGCTAATAGAAATCTAAAACAAAATATCTTATTACACTTTGTCTGTACCAGCAAAGTGTATGTTTACATGTGTTTTTCGTCCACGACGTATACAACAGTTAAGTTTTCAATCATCTAAAAAGCAGAAAGTAATGTTCGTATCTTTTTCACGAATAAGAAATGTAAATTGATATTGAACGAACAAACTGTAAATACACGTACAATTTCATCATCTGACTTGTTTACAAGAATCTGTGAACGAATAAAACAAACATAAATTCAAATAAAAAATTAATTAATTAAAGATTAAATTTCGATGATAATTGTACTATCATCTCAATATAATCTTAAATTTAATGTTACATGCAGCTTTATCAATTCTAGAATCATAATGTAAACATCTTCATCAAAATGTTCTATTTACACTGTGTTTTTTTTCTGAACAACATGTAAAATAATACGTACAGCAGAAGAAGTAGATGTTCAATACAATTGAAATTGAAATCTCTGTATACCAAAGATGTCCATCTCGATAGCTTTTTTTTGGAAGGACATTGCAAAATTGCATAAATTTGCAAGGAATTCCAGTGTTGACAAGTGTAAAACTCTGATATTCAACGTATCTCATGGATTAGTAAGGATAATTTTAGATAAGTACGTTCGCAATAATAAAATTAGAGACAATGTTTTTTCCTTTTGAATATCATGACGCACGTTATAATTAGTTTTTGGGTGTGACGCAGCAGCGACACGCGAGCTTTTCTTTTCTATTGTCGTGGAGCAGCCGTGGCAGATTATTAGTCACGATGAAAATCTGTGATTTATGTCATTAACCAGCGTCCTCTGTCGCGAAGACTTGCAGTTTCAAGTTCAAGAAAGACCGCCTTACTTTTGAAGTGAATGATAGACAAAATTAAAAAAAAATATTGATTAGTTTCTACATCATTTGATAGAATAAACAAAATTTTGAAGGTCGTTTGATTTAAAAGGTATCGAAATGATCTTATCGATGGATAAATAAAATGAACATGACAATATATAAACATAGGTAAAAATTGGATTTATAACTTTTTAAAACAATTTTGACAACGAGCATTGTTTTACTCATAAGTATTTAGTTCTTCAGAACAAATTTTAAGGACGTAATGTGAATCATTACTCATTCATGATTGTTCTCGACTGAATGAGTTAAAAAAAACAAACTTCAAGAAAAATATGGTCTGCTTAGTTGTCAGAATATTTAATGTGCATTTTATATCGTTGCCGTGCATGATTTTTCTTTTTTTTTCTTTTGTAAACACAGGTTAAGCAAATATATTATGGTTTCATATAGGTTTTTTTTTTAATCTTCAATAGATTTCTTTTTTTTTGAAAAAGATAATTTTAATCCATGATTGAGTATAATTTCTACAGTATTTATCCCTTTTGCTTCTGTCAAATAACAAAATATCAAATAAAAAAATATAAAAAATCCTTTTCTTTTTTCGTTTCTGGTAAGTAGAACATGTATTTGTACATGTAGATATTTGGATATACACAACGACGTTACCTGGCAAACGTGACATACGTACTGCTTTTTTATTCTTTCTTTTCTTCTCATCTTACTCAGAAGCTTAATTCGCTTTGTTAGGTAACATGCATGCACAAACGATTGTTTGCTTGAATTAGTGAGGAAAAATCCGATGGAAAAACTACTGACTCTGTCTATGTGAGTTGAAGCATATCGACTCCTTTTATAATTTGTGTTTCGCCTCATTTTCTATTGTGTGATTGCCTGATGTTTTGCTCTTTCTTTGTCAAGGCGTTATTCAACTAAACAGACTCTAATAGTGTTCTCATATTTCGTCATAATAAAAGAACATTATATAAGATATATTATTATTCTGTTCTTTTTTTTTAACAAATATTAGATATCAATGTAAAAAAAAAAAGAAAAAGAAATTTTTATTTTACATTTCAGATAAACGATCGAATGTTGCAAAATCCATTGATATTTATCTCTGTATTTGTTTTATTTATTGGCAGTCTTGTGCAACAATCTCAATCAAATGTTCAGAATTGGAATGAAGATAGACATGATAAATTACTATATCGACAAATAAGAGAAGTACAACCTTCTCAATCGGAATCACAACCATCGAAGAAAATTGCTGATTCTCCAGTTAAACCTTCTTCCCATAATGAAAGATTATCCGAATCAGAATCATCTTCTGCATCACTTGCTAACAGTATAGAATGTAAAGTTGATGTACAAAAATATTGTACTAAAGGTGGCTCAAAATCTATTCCTAATTTGAAAGTATTACAATGTATTGATGATCTTGATAATGTGAGTTTTTCTTCAATATAAAAAAAAAAAGAAAATCATAATTTTTTTTTTCAAAACTATATTTATTTTTTGCTATTCAAATATAGGCTGCAGATGTGATAAGTAAAGAGTGTCAAAATGTAAGTAAAATCAAATTCATTATGGTTCTATTTATTGAACGAATTTGCTTTCTTTTCTTTTTTTTGAAAATTTCATTTAGCGTATTTATAAATTTAAATACAATATGACACGTGATGTACGTTTTGATGATGGAGCAATTAAATTCTGTGCAAAAGATATTAAATTATTAGATGAATGTAATGAATTTACAGATGAACGTGGAACCGGTCGTCTTATTTCATGTTTATATGATCGTTTGTCTAATATAACTGAACCACCTTGTCGTCATTATATTAATCAATTACAATCAATCATATTTACTGATTGGCGTTTATCGGAATATTTTGCTAATGCATGTTGGAAAGATATCACAGAACTCAAATGTGGACGATTAGATGATGAAAACAATACTGTAGAGTATCAATCAAATGGTTAAGACAAAAATTTAAAAAAATTAAACTTCCTTTCTTTAGATACCACATAACCAAGGTGCTGTCATTGCATGTTTATCAAAAAACCATAAAGATTTATCTAAAATATGTTCGAAACATACATTTCGTTTACATGAAATGCAATCAGATGATTATCATCTTGATCGTGCATTATACTATGCATGTCGTGAGGATCGTGAACATTTTTGTTCTCAAGTTTCAAGTGGAAATGGTCGAGTTTATCGATGTTTATATGAAAATAAATTTAATACTATGATGTCAACAGCTGTAAGTAATCAGTCATTTTTTATTATCTAAAAACACATACTACTAATCAGATTGTTCTGTATTCTAAAAGAATAAAAAGATATAATAATCGATCAATAGTGAAGACTGTACACTTTCCTCAGATCTACTGTACTAGTGGTGATTCTAACTTATGTCGCATTACTTATTTAGGAATGCGCTTTTAATCATCACCGTTAAGGTTAATGAAGTGAAAAACATATAACAAATATTGACTATGAGACCATGTTTGCTTTTTGGCATTATTTAAATGCTTCTAGCATAACTCCATAAATACAATATACACTTGTTAAATTTTAGTGTCGTAAAGAAGTGCATCGACGACAAAAACTAGTCGTTTCCAATGCTCTGTTAGATGCACCATTGATTCGAGGTAAAAAACGTTTGAATTAAAAAACAAAAAGAAATAAAATGAATTCATTATTTTAGCATGTAAGAGTGAAATGAATGAACATCAATGTGTTAATAATCCACAAGATCCTGATAAACAATTATCACTTGTTAATTTACTTCTTTGTCTTGAAGATAGAATTAAAAAAGGTAAACATTCAATAATATTTAATTTTCAAAAATCATCAATTTTTATCTTACAAAAAAAAAACACACATAGGTAATCAAATTAAAGATGAATGTCGACGTGACATGCTTATTCATCGTCGTATGTTAATGTCGGATTATGCTGTTTCACCTGAAATTATTTCAAAATGTAACACTGAAATGAGTCAACATTGTTCTTCATTATATCAAAAAGGTTCTACTGGTACAATTGATCAACGTGGTGGTCGAATGATTCATTGTTTATTAAATGCTGCACGTCAAGAAAATAATTTTAGTCGTGAATGTTTATTTAATATTAAATCATTAATGCGTGCTGTTGATCCAGGTAATGATATACGAGCTGATCCATTACTTGAAACAGCTTGTCGATCTGTCATTGATACATTATGTACAAGAGTAAGATCTGGTGATTCAAATGTAATTATGTGTTTATTGGATAATTTAAAAAATACTCGTATGACAGAAGAATGTGAAGATCGTCTTATGGAAGTTGCTTATTTTATGGCACGAGATTGGAGGTAATGAAGAAAAAAAAGATAAACGAATTTCATTCATATTTTTTATTTTTTATTTTCTATGACATAGATTAACACCAAGATTATTAGGTGCATGTCAAAAAAATCTTATTGATTTATGTAAATTACCATCAAGTTGGTCAATGAGTAATAATATGAGTGATGTTCAATTAGGACAATATTTAAGTTGTTTATATCAACAGAAACAACAAGTAAAATAAGACAAACAAATAAACAAACAAAAAAAAAACAACCAATTTAATATTGAATGTATTTACTTTTAATTTAGTTAAACAGTGTTTGTCGTAGTGAACTTAAAAGAATAATGAGTATTCGAACGAAAGCAATTGGTTTAATGCCTGAAATTGAAGATAATTGTATAACAGATTTAGCAACATGTAAAAATCCAGAAATTAAAGGAGAAGTAAGAAAATTAATGCAAATGATTTAAATAAACTTCTCTTTGCAATGTCATCCAGTCGAAAGACAAAAAAAGTGTTTATTGTCAGTTTAATACTTTTCGAAAAATAATATATATTTCTCTTGTTGCACATTTATATCGACAGTAGATTGTCGGTCGAAGAATGACTATTAGTATATCACGGTAAAATGATGATTAGAAAATAGTCCACCATTTAAGATCCACCCCCGTCAAAAAAAATAGTCAAGTAACAAAATAAAGATAAATGTCTAAGAGGATAATTTGAGATCTTATCTTTCATCAATGACATGATTTATTATTAGATACATTGTTTTTTTCTACAAACTGTTGATAATTTCTTTCATCACTTACTTTGAAAAACATGTTTTTTGTTTATTGCACATCTTAGAATTCTCGAAGGAGCTTTATTTCTATTGTGAAAAAAAATCTGATGCCAAAAAATTGATTAAAATTATACACTATTAAGCAATTATTAATCGATTTATAATCAGAAACAACTTTTCTGATAACTTTTTATTGAAAATTTCTACTCTTTATATTTTAATACACCTTTTAGATCATGTTTCACAATAATCAGAATAATAATCGATTTTTTTTACATGAATTATAGCTAATTGCGTTTTCTTTTATCTGAAAGAGCATATCAAGATGCGAGACATGATAGAGTCCGTTTTCTTTTTTTGAATTAAACATTATTACTATTATATAAAAGAGTGTTTTTATGATTAGAGCGCTATTTTTAGAGACATTAAACTTTTCTTCCATTAAAAGGTAGAAATTTAAAAAAGAAAAAAGGGTTCTGTCATACTTAGCATCCTTACATGGCCTTTCAAACATAAAAGAAATGAAGACTTACAACGAATCTCGGATTGCCAAATGAGCAACTTGTACCTCTTGTTTGTTTTAATATATCTCAAAAACGTGATGATGTGAGGGTCAAAAAGTTTACCATAGCCTCTTGACTGGCTACAGCATTAACATATCCTGAAAACTTTATATAATTTGAATGTATCTAGCCTAAGATCGATTTTTGAGGAGCAAAAGTCTTACTATCAAACTACCTTCGGTTAATGGTCGGTATAATAATCTTTTTTCTTTTAGGAATTAAAATGTTTACAAAAGAAATATAAAAAACTTGAAAGTGACTGTAAATCAGCTATTCAAAAATATACAAAAATGACAATATCAGATCCAACTGTTGATTTTGTTCTTATGAAAACATGTGAACCAATGATACAAATATTTTGTTCAGTAAAATTAAAAAAGATAGTTTTTTTAATTTTCTATAATCATAATTTTTCTTTTTCTTTTTATAAATTAGAATATTGAAGCTGGAAATGAAAATGATTTACTTCGTTGTTTAATTAAAAATAAAAATAATCAAAAAATGGATTTTCGTTGTAAAACTAATATTGAACATTATCAGATAGTAAGTAATAAAAAAATAAATAGAACCTTAATAATAATAAAAAAAAAAAAAACTTATTTCTAGATGAGTTTAAAAGATGAAGCATTTTTAAGTGAACAATTTCGACAACATTGTGATCAAGAAATAACTAGTCATTGTTCAACAAAAAAGACAAAGTATTTTTTTAGATTCTTTTTTTCTATACATAAATTTTTAATTTAGAGCATCAGTTATTCAATGTCTTGCTAATCTTGTTCTACAAGATGTTAGAAAGAAACAAAATCAAATAAATGAAAATTGTCGTAATGAATTAAAAATTGAACTTCTTCAACGTGTTTGTTGAACATTGATTTTTTTTTTGTTTGTAAATCTTATTTAAAATTTCATTTTGTTTTAGAGTGAAAATATTAATCTTGATCCATTATTAGCTAAAGCATGTCAAAATGATATACGTAAATTTTGTTCTTCTCGACTTGCAGGCAATGCTCAGGTGATTTTCTTAATAAATATCTCATAGAATAATATATGCTTGTTTTTTTTTTAATATACAGATTATTGATTGTCTAAAAACTAATCATAATAAAGTATCAGAAACATGTTATGCTAAATTAAAAAAACGTGAAAAACTTGATGTTGTTTTACCTGGAGCTGATTATAGTTTAACAACAAAATGTGCTCCACTTATTCAAGTATGTTGATATAATAAAAATAGGAAAAAAGAGGCTTTTTTTTTCGTATAATTCATTTAGAAATATTGTGCGAATGAAAATAAACAAAATATTTTATTATGTTTACGACGTAATATCAATCAAGATAGTACACCAAATATATGTCGAACTGTTTTATATCATCGTTTAATGATTTTAAATAGTGGTAAGATTAAAATGAAATATTTTTACTTGAAAGATATGATTACGAAGTAATCATTCATAAAAAAGATCAACGTGATGATTAGTCAATGTTTTATAATACCCTATTAGATATGTTATACGTTTTATTTCAGAAGTACCAGTGAGAATAATCATTTATAGTTAGAAATTTGCTAAGATTAATAATGAATATTGATATTTTTGATCGAGGGTGTCTATTGGAGAGCTCATTTTTCTGACTGAAAGTGAAATAAAAATAGGCAGACAATGTTGTTACGAGGTGACTAGGGCAAGGGTGGTCTGACTTTCATCAGTCACCACTTCTAGCACTCTGAGGATGAAAGCATTTCCTGCGAGAATTTTTAGACTCTCCCACTCTTAAAAAATATCGACAAATCTATTTTTTTCATGAAGAAGACACTTTTGAAACTCGTGGCAGATTTAGAGCGAGAGGTGATTATTCCTCAAATATTTTTCGATTTTTTCCAGCAAAAAAAAAACAACCGCCCGAAAATGAACCGACACGATTTATGACTAAGATCACGCTAAATGTATTACTTTTAGCTTCAAACTTTTATACAGCTTTTATCTAAAATCTTACATACGTAATGCCGAATGTATGTTGAAAGTTAATCGAATATTTTTTTTTCTGACCGTCAGTAGTGATATCCATATGTATATTAATGACAAATACAGAGGCACAAGGTTTATTATCCGACAAAGTTCTGTCTATTATCAATGGGTGTGACCTTGATATAATATGATTGACAGATTTATGGTTCTTGGTGTTTATTAAAAATATGGTCAAACCAATTCATGAAATTCTGAGTTATAAAACATATGATAAATACTGTTTTTTTTATTCGAATTCTATTTCATCGTTGAAGATTGTAAATAGACTTTATTTGATAATTTTAAGACAATATGAAATACTCATTAATAGAACTTCAGTTTATTATATATATATATCCAAAGATTATAGCTTCTATATTATTCAAAGTTGTTTTTTTCTTTTTTTATTAGACTGTTTGTAGTTTCTGAATAGATCAGCATGCTCTCGAATTGTTATTCAAGGTTAAATATAAATGATGTTCTCGTTGTAGAATATATGTCATCACGAAAGAATAAACACAAAAAAGAATTTATTAGACGATGAAAATAATTGCATTTCAATTTATTGTGATAATAAAAAAAAAAACAAGCTAAATTTTCAGTAGACAATCATTATAGTACATTTTCTTGAGGGTAAAAATTTTTTGTCTAGTACATATTTAATCTAGAAATTAACATATAAACGAATGAAATAAACATGTACTGAGAGAAGCAAAAAAAAAAATAGAAGGAAAAAAAAACATTATTCTCTAGAGGCAATATTCTCCAATCTAATTAACTAAAAGGACACAACAAGTCTTTTCTTTATTTTCATCTTAGAATCTAAATAAATTAAACAATCAAAATAAAGACTCTCTTTAATCATTACATATAATAATTTATATAAATTTATTATAGAAAGAAAAAATTGTCATCAGTAAAATATAATATTTATTTTATATTTAGATGCTCGTTTTAATAAAGGTTTAATTGAAAATTGTCAAACTGATATTACTCGATATTGCTCAAATGAAATTATCGATGATGATAATGATGGCGATGATGAATCCGATGATGGTGATGATAATGACAATAATAATAATAATAATAATAGTAAATTATTTTCTTATTATTAAAATTGTTTTTTTTCTGTGTATTTTTTAATTCTCTAAAATTTAGATGATGAAAATACTGATGATATAAAAGATCGCGATATGGGTGGTCGAATAATTGGATGTTTACGTTCAAAATATGCTAATACACAAGTTGAATTAGAACCAAAATGTATTACAGAATTAATTGATGTTATTCAAACATCAAAACTTGATATTGAAATTGATGTTAAACTTTATCAAAAATGTAAGACTACCATTAATGCAAATTGTCCAGGTGGTGATAAAGAAGATTGTCTAAAATTATTATATCAAAAAAAGCAACTTGCTGATGACGGTTGTAGACAAGAAGTTACACGTATTATAAGAGAAGGAAGAGCTGATATACATACTGATTCGGCATTATCAACTGCATGTCAATTTGATATTCTTAAATATTGTAATGATATCCCAATAGGTACTAAAATTTTATTTAATAAATTTCTATCTAATATTTTTCTATATTTAGGAAGTGGTAAACAATTAAAATGTTTAATAAAACAGAAAAATTCTGTCTCGAGTTCTTGTCGAAGTATTTTATTAAAACGACAAGAATTATGGAAAAGTGTAAGTTAATAAAAATATAAATTATTTATTTATTAAAAATAAAATATTTCGAATTTTAGATCTCTCATATAGATGATATCGATGATTTAGCAAGACAAATTGTCGATTCGAATAATCAAATATATATCTATGCAGTTATTCTTACAATATTATTTTTTATATTTATAGCTGGTTGTCTTTGTCGTCCATGCGTTCGATATCGACGTATGCAAGGCTATAAAAGAAGTCGCTAAAACTGCAATAACGAAAACAAAAAAAGTTTAATCAAATTTTAGGACATTCTCTTTGTTTTGTTTTTAACGAATCTCTTTAATTTTTATTTTATAATTATTAAAACTCATGAAAAATTTATTTCCAAGTTTTTTTTTTTGTTCTTTTACTGTGATAACATCTTCTTTTGTTTTTATTTTCCTGTTCTCTCAGTAAAATTTTATGCATTCTGCTTAATACTAACAAAAACAACAACAAATAAATAAATTGTTTGTCTTTTTTTTTTTTTTGAAGAAATAAAAAAGAAAAAGAAAACAAAAAAAAAAGAATCAAATAGGAAGACTAGATAGTAGAGATACATGGAAGAGAAAAAAAAAGAAATTGCCTGGCATTTATTTTGTTCGATCTAATTACAATAAACTTTGCATTTCTTTTTGATTATCTTCAATTAAATCATCATCATTATCAATATCGTCTAATCGATTATGACTGATTGTACTTATTTGTGTAACAGGCATTGAAGAACTTGTTTGCCATTCTAATAAATAAATAATTGATTAAAATTTTAAAATAAAATTTATTTTATTTTCTTACCACCATAATTATCATCAGTTTGTTCATCATCAGATTCCCCATCATGATCACTTTCACCATATGTAACAACACTACAATCGCATTGATCTTCACCTTCAAAACAACCACATGAATCTATTGGAGCATCAGCACAATATAATATTTCATCGTGACTTTGAGGTCCTATTAAAACATTTTCTTTAATTTTGTTTTCTTTTTATCATTAAATAAAACTTACTTTCTTCATCCATAAGCATATAATGATCACCATTACGTCCTCTTGAATGTTGAAAACAATGATGATGTTCTGAATCACTTGTTGTAACAGGTGTAAGTGTCTGTCGAATACCAATCGGTACATCTTGACTTCGAATGATGTCACATACTAGATATATGTATATATAATAAATAAATTTATTTAGAAAAATAACAAAGCAAGTTTTTGTTTTTTTGTCTCAAGTCATCTTACCAACAGTATCACAGAGACCAATACGTTCTAATTGACGATAAACAAGTAAATGACTATTATTTAATGCAAACCATTGATTATTATGTGCACATATTTGTAATTTTGGTGGACAATCACTTTCCATTAATTTTGTTGATATATCAATCATTAATTTTTCATCAATAACTGAATGTTTTAAATCACCTAAACTTGAACTTGTAAAATTAATATTTGATGGTGCTAATGTTAATGTTCGTGAATGACAAGAATTAGTTGATGATTTCCAAAATGGTTTCCAAGAAGAAAAATAACTTTTAACGTTCTGCATCAAAATAAGATAATATCGATATCAGATGTATTCAAAATTAAGAAAAATAAAAATGATCTAAAGTAATAAGATAAATATTCAGCTAAAGAGAAAGATGACGACAAAAAAGAAGAAGAAAAATAAGCAGCATAGTAAGGTTCTAATCTAGATTGTGTAATATGCTTATGCATTCAATCTGAATTGCAAATGGTGTTACTGTTCTATTACGAATGTCAGTCATCAGTACAACTATGCTATCAAATTGGCTGTGAAATTGCTTGTTCGATTGAGATAGTATTAAATATCTCGTTTGCAATAGACATTGATAGAAACGAGAAAAGAAAATCATAACTATTGATTATCTTTTCTATTTTCTCCAATCAAATGATTTTGCTTTTACAAATCACTAAACTATTCTTAATCGTCTTTTCTATTAAGCATATATATAGAAAATAACATGAAAAACTTACCGAATATAGACTGTTGTCTATCAAAAATGCTAGCTATATATATGATGATCAAATGACTTGTATTGATAATTTTTGCTCGTCTGACGAACGTGGGTCATGTAAATAGGAGAGTCTCTTTCTCTCTCGTTCTCATCTAATTGTTGTCGTTGGTACCATCTCTAACAGTATAGAGTCTGCAATACGCAAGAGAAAGCGTCTATGACGACAATTCACTAGAGAAAAAAAGAAGAACGAAGCCGAAAGAGAGAGAGAGAGAGAGAGAGAGAGAGAGAGAGAGAGAGAAAGACGACAAGTCCCTATCATTTCTTTATTTTTATATATATATATATTTTTTTTTTCTCTCACTCTATCTCTTTGTCATCTTTCATCCGTTCTTTAGTAATATTATAAATTCAATATAAATATTTAGGATAGACAGACTAAAAAATGTGATCATGATGTATTGAAAATTAGAATATTCCAAAAAGAAAAGAAAACAAGTTTTTTTTATTATTTAATTTGCTCATATTCAAAATTATATATATATTCATCTTTTTCTTTTTATTATTATATATCTATTTAATAATACCACAATTCCTCATGATAAAATACAAGATATTAATAATTGACATTTATCTTATATGTATAGATTAATAAATTAAGAATAATTGATGACATGTTAAGGCAATAAACAGTTTTGTTACCTTTCTGATATATACATTGTAGTAACAAATTTTTCTTCTCTTTCATCTATTATATTACCATACCTCGTCAAGTTTTTTTTTTCTTCTTATAACCAGATGAATTCTATCTAACGAATGTGATTAATCAATGCAAATATATTCTACTCGAGTGAGCGTCATCGTTACGGCCAAGGATTCTTCACTAATAATGCTGGTAGCAACTGATGGAATGTTGACTTTTGTAGCGCTATTTTTTTTTTGTCTGTTAGAAACGGATGCACACGCAATCGGATACATATATACATACATCCTATATAAATTTATTCTAGTTGTTTTGATGATGGGTCTAGGCTATTGACAAAACGTATACATAAACCGATCTCTTATTGCACACTTATTCAAAAAGAAGAAAAAAAAAAGGGGAAGAGAATAGTAAGACAACTGATGATGCCGTTTCCTTAATAGATTTTTCCGATTTTCGTCGTTTGTATTTGATCAAAGTTAGAGAGTATACGAACGCATGCATTTTCTGATGTCAGATACGCTGTGCAACCTCATAATCAAATTTATTCTCGCTTCGCAAAGCTCATCTGCATTTTTTTTTCCTCTATCTGTAATTCGTCAAGCTAGAAGAGAAAAAAAATAGATATTATAAATTGGACTCATGTAGTATGACGAATACTTGATAAATATTAAAACATTGATAGAATTTGTATGGATATATATATATATATAGATAGATTTCTTTAAAAAAAAACCAACGAATACGTAATAATAATCTCATCATAGTCACTTGATTCATCGATTGACATGGACAGGAAATTAACAAGCGTGTCAGATGATCTTGTCTATCGATGTGTAGTAGCTTGTCACTGTTGACCGACTGTCCTCCTTCTCTTTTTTTTTCGGACATAAGAGTATCGATAATCTAATTTTAACATACTCGTTTTATGCTTTTTCTCTATGGACAAGCACGTACATGTAAAATATGACATAGAAGATAACGAGAAAAGCATGATGTGTGACTACATCAATAGATGAAACTGCCATACATTATTATTATTATTATTATACGAAAGACATAAGTTCATAGATCAGACAAAAAAATAAGGACAAAGTCAAAAATTGTGTAATAAAGCAAAAGAACCGGAAATAGATTTTGATAGTTAGAAAAAAAGAATATTTTTTTTTCTTCTTTTTATGATTAAATTTTTTCGTTTTTATGAATAAAATTGTTCTAACTAAAACAATCAACTGTTTTGATATGAACGAATAAAGTGAACTACTTCCTTTATCATATATATTATAATTTGATTTTCAATGGTCTAGTTAAATTAATTATTATTAAATTTTTGCCTATGATAATTCTATTTGTGTAATTAAATCTTTGGTTTATTCATAGAAACCAAGGTGTTATTATTAAAACTTTGAAAATATGTCTATATCTTGGTTGTTTTAACAAAAAAACAAATTAACTTTTATAATAGATTCGAAATTTTTCTTGAAATAGAAATGTATTTCGATTGAAATAATTGACGATGTACGACGTGAAAAATCTTTTCTTTTTTAGCGTAGAATATCAATCTTCTAAACTTTTATAGTGAAATTAAACGTTCTTGATTTAAAAAACTGTTGTTTCCGTTTTAGTTTTAGAATTCTGAAGTTCAGTTTTTTTTCTACATAAAAAAAAGGCAGCAAGATTTTAGGAAAAAGTTTAAAAGTTACAATAGTTTCATAGAATTTTATCGAATAAAGATTCTTAAATAGGATCGTGATGAATTCGATAAAACCAATGTAAAAAATAAGAAGTTTTCAAGAAAAAAAAAATTCTTTTACTTCATACATATCTTACTTTATTTCAATTTCAGTCTGATTGTCTCAATTCTCATTGACATCTTTAAATCTGTAAAAAGCAAAGAGATTATACTGTTAATTTAAAATACAGAATTAATTATAATGTTTTTGTTTTTGTTGTTTAAATATAATAAAATAACTTCTAGCATAACCATCAATCTATATTCGAAATGAAATACTATCAAAAAATAAGACTAAAAACAACAATCAATCTTAACTATACATTCGAAACTGATAATGTATAATAAAAAAAAAAAAGGTAAATATATAAATTTCTCTATTATACATATAAACATTTGTTTGCATCTGACAATTTATTAATGTCAAAAATAAAGAAGAAAATGCCAATAAAAAAAAATATAGGACATTTTTAATTCTAATAAAATTTGTTATTTATTAATAATAGTAAACGAAAACAAGATGAAGATGATACCTTGAATAAAGATTAAACAGTTTAATAGTGAATACAATCGAACGTGTCTTTGTTAATATTATCAGTAGTTTATTTGAAAAACAAAAAAAAAAAAAAAGAACAATTACAGATCTTATTTTGATCAATTGCGACGCTGATACATGTTAGTCTTCAATTACTTGGTATTGTATTAATTGCTCGTTTTGTTGCACACATCTCACGCTTTTTTTTCTTCTTGTATATAAATAAAATTGATGATACCTATTACAACGAGACTCACCTGTATTCAAATTGAAAAGTATGTTATGTCTCCACGTGATTGCATTTCTAGCTGTCAAAATCGAAACTCGAAGGTCTCTTGATATTCATAAAATATGTATGAGTACATATTTAAAAAAAGATTTTATACTAACATTTTGTGGTTGTAAATAATGGCAAAAAAAAGTATTCAAGTTTAATTAATCGATTTCTACATAGTTAGAATTGGTAAGTAATAGTGATATATTCATTTGTATGTATAAAAATGAAATGAAATGTTTATTTTGTTATTGCATGAAAAATAATATATGATGAGAATGATTTTAAACTTAGATTTATTTCAACATAAATATTATTTAAATCGAGAAAGATTAGAAAATATTTTAGAGAGAGGTGTACCATTAATATTTAAATTACATAGCAAATCTTTACATATTGTTAATCATAGGTAAGCTGTTAATAACTTTTAAACATCTCATGTCTGGCATCATAAATCATTTTCTTTGAAAATATTTGTCTTGTATTTATTATTAATATGATCATAGTAAACTTGTGTTTTATATAACGATAGCAATTTCATATTTTTTATTATGTGTTCCTATAAAGAAAGGCAATCTGTAGTTTTTTTTTTGAGATGAGAGAATCGATGCAATAAATGATTCTAATTGGTTGAGAATCTATCGATACTTAATTTTCATTTCTATATATTATAAAATATTGATATATATGTTCATTAGTTAAAATTTTTGTTTTTTTTTTTGCATTCGTTCTTTATTAATAATAAACTTCTCAGATAAGAAAATGATTAATAATTGTCGTAAGTCTTCTCTTCCAATTTGTATTATATCTTTATGTTTCTTTTCAATACAATAAACTATTTAGGATAGATTACAATAGAAGTATTGTTACTATAATAATTCGTTCAGTAAAATATGACCAATATAAAAATAGACAAAAGAATAATTCAAAAACATGAATGAATGAATGACTAGAAAAATTTTATAAGATGATGTTGTAAAATACAAAGTTAAATATTTATTTATGATATACGATTAAGTCGATAGTCTTCGATATTTGAGATACGGAATAACTAGATATCATAGACAAATTGTTCTTTATATTTATGTTAATGATTTAATATCAAAATTTTTTGTTGTTGTGCGTATCTGTATTATGATTTTTTTTGATATTTTTTTTTTTTTTGTTTTTCTTTTCTATATATAATAATATTAGATCACACGCACATGATGTTTATTATTAAATGTGCATAAGTTAATCATTGTTTTCTGATTCTTTGCTTTTTTTACCGTTAATTAAAAACACAAGTCTGCAATGACGAAGATCATGCCACGTTTTCTTATTTCGTTAAGATTTATTGGTCGTATTTTCTTTCTATTCATTCTTACTATATTAGTTTTATTGATAATTATATTGTGTATTGAAATTTTACTAAAATATTTCTATAATTCATCTACATTTATTCAATTAAGTGTTGGACGATATAATGTTTCTAAACAAATATCAAACAATCAACAATCAATTGATAATAAACAAAATATAACTATGGAACAAAATATAACTATGAAACAAAATTTACCATTTATTTATAAACCTTCATCAGAATTATGTATATTACGAGCTCTTCTTATTTTCTATCCAACTGATCAACATGAAACATTTCAATCTGAATTTCGATGGTTATATCGTTCATGGATTGAAATGATGACATTTGAATCATCATTATGGAGGACTGATTTAATTGTTTATGCTAATGAATATATATCATTTTTTAAAGATCTTGATTGTATATATGATCAAATACGTATAGATTCAAAAGAAAAACCTAAATGTCGTATTTTTCCTTATATTCGTATTAAAGATCGTCAATCAAAACATGAATCTTCAAGTAAATATCAAATTATTGATAAACAAAATTCACAAGCACTCTATGAATATTTACGAACTTATGGATATATAGATTCAATTAATACAATTTTTGAATATTATTTATCATTTTCTATGTATAATTTTATTCTTCGTACAGATATGGATTGTTTTTTAACAAATAATTTTGCTTTTTATGTTCCATATAATAATTCATTACTTGTTGGTCATGGTGGTTATTCAACAACATTTAATAGCAGACGATTAAAACGTATTGCTCATAATATAAATTGGACATATGCCGATAAGAGTGGTCTTGGATCAACTTGGTAAGAAATTTAATTTACTATTTAAAAGTCATTGATATAAATGTATTAACAAAAATTGATTGAGTCTCTGGTATTCTAGAAATGTTTATTACATGTAGAAAGCAAATAAACCATAGATATTTTAATTATTTAAAATGGAAGAATAGATCATGTATGACTCAAGCAAGCAATTTACATTGCAAAATTGCTTTCCAATTGTTTTATGATTAATTAAATATGTAACTATTGTAACTGTATATAATTAGTGCCATACAGCAATTTTATTGTCGTAAGAAAAGAATCCTATTTAGGAAATAATTATCATTGATGTTGAATGACAGTCATATGGAAATTCTTTTTCTTTCTGCATTGAGAATCATTAAGACGGAAAATTGATCACATACTAAGATGAAAGTTAGTGAAATATCGATTAAAATGTAATACAATAGGAGTTGTCAGAACGGAATGATTTATAAAAGTACTCAGAAAAAAAAAATGAATACACTTTTAGCACAATCTCTACGAGATTAAAATATAAAACACGATATAGTTGTTGTTACTAACTATAGAAAGATTGTGTTATTCTATTTATTTTGAGACACATTTGTTCACCATTATTTTACTTAACTTTCCAGATATGCAATAACGATGTACTTCATAGATTATAATGAGAGGTTTTTTGGCATAGAGTTTGTTATCGTATATCATCAACGTCTGTTATTGTCTGTGATAGTATTTGACAAACATCTGTCATAGTTTGTGGAGAATGATGAGTCGAAATTTTGACTCCTATACTTTAACACGTTCTCTTAGATCGTGTTTCACAAAAAGTCAAAGAAAAATGGTTTTTCATTTGCAACATTTATCATTCGCATAGAATTTTTCCATTCTATGACAAAATTGATACACAACATCGGTTATATTAAGTTCCAATAGTAGATATTCAATTAATCATAGAATAATTCGAAATGAATCTACTATTTCATTATAAATAATTAAAATATAGATGACTAATTTGCTTTTCAATATAATAAACATTTTTCAATTAATAGCTTTCTTATTAACCCTTTGGGGACGGGTTTTTTTTTGTATATTTCATCATAAATCAATCAACATTTCTATATTCTAAAAGAACTTATTATCCATTACTGGATATCTGAATAAAATAACCTAATTACAATCCAAATTATATCAAAAAACTCTCTGATAAATGCTTTCACGAAAACTAATCTCATATAGAAATCTGTGTTTTGAAATGCTAGAGAATCACCATGGCCCCTGAAGGGGCCAACCGTCCCCAAAGGGTTAAATGAGCGAGAGAAATCAATTAATATTGATTTTCAATAGCAGATTTTCATGTACTTTTTTTCTTTATAAAGACAATTCTACGACAATATTTATTAGTATTGAAACATTTATTATATGAAACAAGTCATGAATTCTTCTAATTGATATTCTTTTCATTCGATCATCAGATATTCAAATCTCTCAATTTTTTGTAATAGATCATAGTTTATCTGTATAGATAGTTTCTACAAACAATACGACAATGAAATATTAGTATATTGAAAAATTTTAATATTTACTAATTCATTGAAAGTTAATCTATACCTCATTGAAAATTAGGAAAAAAAATCGATTAAATTAAATATAATAATATATTTACTAGGTATGGACCACCATCTATGACTCATCGCTTAGCTAATTATACCTTACAAGCTATGTTATATCTCAATATTAACGAATTTACTACACCAGAAAGAGAACAAAAACTCGGTATAATGGTTAGTTTTATTTTTCTTATTGAATTATTTCTTTTCATCTCTTTTTTTTTGTTTTAATGTTTAGCTTTGGCCTGAATGGCATTATGGTGTTCTTTTATTATATGGTGGTCATTTAGCTATTAATCATCTTATTGCTGGTGAAAATTTTGATATAGGCCTTGCTGATAAATTATTAGATCAAGGTGTAACATCAAAAGATCAAACAGATATTAATAAAAATTTTCGTTTACATCTTCATTGTTGGCATGGAAATGATCCATTTTCAAAATTTGCATTTAAAGCAGGAAAATATAATGACATACAACCATCTAGTTTAATTTCGGATACATCAGCATCTGGTTATGTAAATATGAAATCGATTTAATATAAAAGGTATTTCATTTTTTTTTTCATTTTAGGCAATGCGAATGGCATTAGAATCTAAATTAATGACACTTGAACAATTAAAACAAAAACTTCTTGATATTAAAAAATAATATTATTTTTTTTCTTATTTTCTTATTTTTATTTTTTTGAAAAATTAATTTTACAGTATTTGAGTTATGTTATAATAAATTAATTATTTTAAAAAAAAATTTCATATAATCTATTTACAAGAACAGAATGTCTTTTGAATATTGAATAATTTTTTCATTAATTTTACTGATGTTTTTCTTTGATGATATTTGTAAAGATTGTTTTCGATAATATTTTTCTACAGATTCATTCATAAAATGAAATATTTTATTAATAATTATTTCTAGTGTTTCAATACAAATTATACCTAGTACATTAGCGAATTGTTCTACACGAATTGAATCGATATTTCGATGTGTAACTAAATCTATTTTATTACCAATAAGTAATAAAAGTAAAAATCCCGTACTATCACGATATAATGATGTTGTCAAACTATGATTAACGTTCCTATTAAATGAAAGATTAAATTATATAGTTTAATGATAAACTCAAACCTGTCCAGTTGTATCTCATAATTGCAAAATAATATGTTGATTACCTTTGACAGTAATATATTTTTCAAAAATATCAATATTTACATTTGAATGAAAATTTGCAAATGTTTCATAAATATACTCATGAAAAAATGTTGTTTTTCCAACATTGTCTCAAGAGGTCATCAGTAATCGAACGACTATAAATGCTATTATATCATTGGTTTGATTATGTTAGCATTCATATGAGTTATATTCAGTGTAATATATATATACGACTGATATCTTTTACAATTCTTATCATGAATTCAATATTTTTATACTACCGTCAAAAATGACTTCAAGTAATACATCAAGTACAAATAAAATAAACGAAAAATCTACATTTGAAGGAAATCCGTAAGTATTTTGAACTCTTAAACAAACAAAAAAACACAAAAATAAAATTTCATGATTAAAAATTTTTATTTCTAAATTTAGATTTAAATGTCGAGTCGGTTTTACTCGTGGACAAAGTTAGTTAATAATATTATCAATTCTAATTTTTGTTTTTTTTGCTTCGAATATTTGTTTAGATCCTTGTACACCAACAGTTACTCGAAAAACAAATTTAGCTAAAGGTGATTTATTTGTAATTAATTTAAATGATGATGGTACAGAAAAAATTGTTATGGAAGTTGATCGTGCTGATGATGAACGTCCAATTCAAACTGCAAATCCAGGTTTTAATAAATTTTAATTAATTATTTTAACATTGAAATTTTTTTTTTTGTCTTATAGAAATTTTTATTGATGAATCAATTAAAAAAACATTTACAAGCATAAATTTTCTTACAAATTATTATATGGTACAAAAAGTTGCTAGAAAAGAAGTTAGTATTTTGAATATTTTTTTATTTTTCATAAATACAAAAAAAAAAAATTTGTTTTAGGATTTTGCACTTTATTTAGTAGAAATGCAAGTTAAAGAACAATATTTTAGTCGTGGTGATATGTGGCGTTTTACACGTAAATTAGTTAATACAGCAGTTTATTTAAAGAAAACACTTGATATATATGGCATGCGGTAAGAAAGTTGATTTAACTAAAGTTTTTATATTGAAAAAAAAAACATTCTTAATTAGAACTACTGTTTATGGTTTATGGGTACCTGATTCACCTTTTCGTGTATCTTCTGGTTATATAACAAAAGATACAAAAGTAAATGAATAAAATTAGTTTTTTGTTTTCTTCTTATAATTGATTTTTGTTTGTTGGATTTTTTATAGATTGTATTTCGTTCATTAAGTGCTTCTTGTACAATATTTTTACAAATGTCAAAAGAAATGTGGGATTTTGATCATCATGGTGATACATATTATGAAAAAGCTGTTGATGGATTTTTTTGTGATTTATTTAATCGATGGAAAGTATGAAAAATAAAATATTTTAATAAGAAAAAGAATTATATTTTATTATATTATTTTAGCAAATGCTTTGTCAACATGATGTTACAATGACATTATTTAGTCGAGTTTTTTATGATGCAAAATCTTTGTATGATTTTCCTCAAAGTTTACAACAAGATATTAACGTAGATCATCGAGGAAGATTTTATGAAGATTTCTATCGGTAATAATTTAATTAGAAAATTTAGTAACATGTTATAGAAAACATTTCTCTAAGACTTTGGATTTAAGAGTTTATGAGTCAATCTTTTAGAAATGTGGAAATTAAAATTCGACCAATAGTCTCCTTTACTGTATACGTCTAGAAAAATAGCGCGTTTCATGAAGAATTATCAAACTCTATAAAATTCTAGAATGGTACAGTCAAGTAACATGCCATAGAATCTTATGGAATTCTGCGGATGGTTCTATCATACAGATCTCATAAAATCTAATATCTGATGATCTGTAACATCGGAACTTTATTAGTAGCCGTAGCCTCATCGAACAACAATGGGCCTAGAATTTTATGGAATTCTGCTTAGCTTCATGTTGTTCTAAACGACTTTGAGTTTAGAGATTTCACAGATTCTCGAGTACTTTCAAATCCCAAATTTCTTGTTTTCCCTTGATATACATGCATAATGGCATCACATGATGACGCTGTGTGATACTAGCAACATAGGAAAAGAGAAAATACTGTTATGGCTTAGTGACGATAGATGATCGTACAAGTTAGAATCTGTGCAAAAGCTTAAAACGTTTTCCTTTGGCACAGAGTTAAATGTAGATAGTATAAATCTGTTTAACTTAACCAATTGATTAGATGCGAATTTTTATTCTTAATTATTTTAGTGTAATTTATCAGAATGAACGTTATGATGATTGGTTACCACGTTTAGGTAAAATAAAACAAGTCATTATTAATTATAAAGAAGATCTTCTAAATTATCATAAAAAACATTTACCAAAAGCTGAAGCTGATAAAATGCCTAATGGAACAATATCATGTGCATGTGATGGAAATTTTCTTGAAACATTAAATTTGTCATCAAGTGGTTTGTAGACAAAAAAAACAAAGAAATTATCTAAAACAAAATAAAGATTTTTTCTTTTTTTTCATTATTTTAGTATTTGAACGTCATTATATTGATCGTTCATTTGATTGTCTTGGTCAAATGTCATTAGTCATAACACCCGGTGCTGGTGTATTTGAAGTTGATCGTGAATTAACAAATATGACTAAACAACGTGTATTAGATAATGGTATTGGAAGTGATCTTGTATGTTTAGGTGAACAACCATTATTTGCTGTACCATTATTTAAATTTTTTAAAGAAGATCCTAATACAGCTGATGATTATCAAATACCACACTGGATGAATTTAAGGTTCAAAACAAAACAAAAAAAAAGAATATTTTAATAAAATTTTGTTTTTGTAGTTATTATCATAGTTCAACTGCACCATCATGTTTTAAACGTTATATTCCACGTTTACCATTTGATACAAATCGAATTCAAGGTGGAATGTTAGGTAAAAATTTTCTTATTATATCTATTAGTTATATATTATATATATATATATATCTATAAAATATTAATAGAAGTTAAAAATGTTATGAATTCAATCGAAGAAAATACATTTACAAAACCACCACATTTATCAATGGAAGAATATGATGCACAAGTATTTCGAACATCAACTAAAAGGTATTTAAAATTAAAAAAAACAAACAAACAATTTTCAATAATTAAAATATATTCAAAAATCTTTTTTTATTTTTGAAATGAATAGTACAAAAGAATATCGATCTACATATAGTACAGCAGCCAAAGGTGGTGAAGCTCGAAAAGCAAGAAAACGAAATATAACTATGAGTCCTACGCGTAAAAGACAAAAAAAAAACAAAAATCATTTTGTAATATAAAAAGTTAATTTGAAAATATTTCAGATCCAGCATCTATTGAAGAAGAAGATGATATATTACATGAACCTAATGGAATGTTAATTGTTAATAGTAAAGCAGCAACATCAATTGGAATCAATGATGATCCACGTCAATTTAATGCCTATGTTAAAGATGATATTTCTCTTTCAACTTCACACACAACATCAACTAGTATAGCAGGAAATCTTCAATATCATAATACATATAATCAATCATCACAAGTTTTATTTTATAATCCACAAAGTTTTTTACGTGCTGCACGAAGTGCTGATACATATTTTTTAGCACCAATTATATTAGCTCGTATGCAAGCACGACCAAAAGCATTAACTAATCCATTTGCACCCGCTAGTATACGCATACCAATGGTGCCAGGACGACGTCGATGGGCACATACATTTCCAATGGGTAAAAGAAAAAAACAAGTTGTTTTTTCTAATCTACAGTTGAATTCCTAAATAGCACTACGATACAAAAAAAAATGAAATACAGTAAAACCTTCTATAGTAGATACTTCGCGATTCGACGGTCCCAGCTATCATTTTTTGCTGGTAATGAACCTTTCTATAGTAGACACTTTTGAAAAGTCCGAAGTATGTGCATTATAGAGAAATTATAGTGTATCTACGCATTAGTTCAATGAAATAGGTAAACTTATTTAAAGTTTTTCTTTTTCATACAGATAAGGTAATGAGATATTATTGTCAGGCTTTATTTTTAGTCTCTCACTAAAGAAATTTCATCTATTGTTAAATGAAGTATATAAGAAACGTTTTATAGTTAGTTTTCAGTTGTCATCTAAGAGAAAAAATAATAAAAAATCAAAACAAATTTTATAAATGATGTTATATTGATGCATATAGAGCAAATTTTCAGAACTGGTTATTTAAAAGTTAACGTTTGCAAAATTTCGAATTTTCAAATACAGAACACTGGTTTTTTTTTTGCAAGAAAGTTGACGTCCCGCAAGGCTGTAATGGTGGTTTTGCTTATGACGTACGAATTTCAGTATTTAAACTGACTAAATAATTTTGAAAACGTACTCTACATGCATCAGAGATGGCCATTGTGGCTGAAAACCTGCTGTTTCTACGACGCGATGAACTATATAAAAAGCTGATATTGTCGCAGTAGTTTTCAAGAAATTCTTCGAAAACCTTCTCCGTCACTGTGCTAGATTAGTAGTGTGGAATTGAATTCATCAGGAGTTCACCACGATTCTGACTGTTGAACTTGTAGATACTCAAATCGAATGCAAAGCTCTGCAATTTTACAATTTCCATAAAAAAGTAGCTGTTGCGCCGCCATGTACATCAATATAGTATCATTTATAAAGTTCGTTTCCATTTCATCTTATTATTCTCGTCGATAACAACTGGAAATTATCTATGAAATGCTTCGTATGTATTTTTTTTACTTTACAATAAGCAAGATTTCTTCAATGGAGTTAAAAATGAAACTTTAAATAAATTTCTATCATTAATCAAAAAAATCAGTTCATTCGAACGAATCAAGATGAAAATATTTCAATTTTTTTGATCGTAGTGCTCTTTGTAGTCTACCTTTTATTTTAGAATATTTATTTATTTTTTTTTGTGTAAGGTCCAAATAAAATTCCATGGCATTTTCATCATTTACGTAAAATGGAAGGTGCAATAAAACATGACATGCTTGTTAATATTGGTAATTGTACTCATCTTGTACTTCCAAGTACATCGAAACGAATTTTAAATGGTTTCATATCAAAACATGCACATCATCAACGTACA